CAACTGACCCCCAAACCCTGTTCTTTTATTTCAATTCTATCATTTACTTGGAATTACTACTCTAAATTACTCCAAGTTGTCCTCTCTATTTTAGCAGACTTGATGAATAAAATAAAGGGCACCATCACAGAAAAATTGTAAAGCCAGGGGTAAGCCCATTCTGGCTCAGTGTCTGTTTCTGACAGTAACAATCAAGATCCCATCTCTGGGAGAATAGGGGTGCCTCTGTGTGGATAAACCTCGGAAGCTAGATACTAGAACCAGGAAGGACCAAGAAGATGATGGCCAAAGATCAAGGTCAAGATGTGATGAGTTTGATGCTGACATTTTGAGGTTGAAAAGACAATGGGACCGCTGTCCCAGCTGACAAGCAATGGACCCCTGGCTGTTCTGCCCTCATCTAAGGACTTGTCTGTTACACCCAGTCTGTGGCTACCCTGGGAAGCCCCATGCAGATGCACAATCTGATATTCTTTCAAACCTGAACCCCAAAGTCCTGAAATATAACTTTCTTCTATGTGGTCTCCAAGAAAGCTTTCTGTCAGTGCAAACACATCTCAGCTTTATAATTGGAAGAAGATTTCATTTCAGTTGGCGCTGCTTCACTAAGTCATCAAAATCACTCTGTACAGTGGACAAACTGGTATTTCATTCATGAGGAGTTTGAGGACTAGAGATGTCAGCAAGTAAGAGGTGACACCTGACTGGGAACCCAGGCATCTAACTGTACATCTTAAGTCCTTTGTATCAGACCCTGACCCTTGTGGTAGCCATGGGAACCCAGTCGCTCCGCCTCCCAGTCTCCTGCTGCGATGCGTAAAAGAAAATCTGTAAACAATTGCTGAATGGGCTCAAAAGGAGCAAGGAGCTACATATTCCTTCTTTTTTTTTTATCATCAATCTGCCTTTCTCTTGTATTCTGAATGAAGCGCCAGGACACTAAGCCAAAATAATCAACTCACCCTCCTGTCTTCATAGTGTGTCATGTTGCCACAAGCCAAAGCAATAACTGAACCAGGTCAAGACTCCCATAATCAAGACTCTCATATATCTAGAAAGATACTCCACGGGGAGGGTCCCGTGAAGCAGTGGGAAACAGCAGAGGAAGAAGCAAGCTCCGTCTTTGCCTAGTAGACACAAGAATGTGTCAGTGTGCTATGCTGTAAGAACCTGACCCATGTTTCAGAGTGTGGGTGGAACGGAGAGAGATGCTTAGCCCAGTGAGACGCTGGACTTCTCATGCATACTCTGAGTCTCTTCAAGTTCTTTATATGCTTTAAATTGAATTTTGGTAGGTTATATGGCTTGGGGGATTCATTCATTTTTGTATAGATATTCTGGTGGGTTGGTTTTTCAAGAAGTTTTTGAAGTATTCAAGAATATTTCTCTGGATTTCTTTGGAATCTGGTTTAATTTTCCCTTCTGTCTCTTATTTTATTAATTTGAATCTTACTTCTCTTTCTATTGGTTAATTAGTCTAGGATTTCATCAGTCTTATGTTTTCAAAGAAATGCTTTTGCGTTTGATTCTTTGTTCTTTTAGTCTCCATTTCATTCATTTCTGCCCTGATCCTGGTTATTTCTGACTCTATAGCTCTTAGGGTTGCTTTCCTAAGACCTTGAACTCTGTCACTAGGCTAAGGAATGTTTGAACGCAAGCACTCAGAGCGATGAATCCTGTCCTCCGAACTGCTATGCTGGGGATATGACTTAACAGTTAAAGCTTTCTCCTGAAGCCCCTTCCTACTTCTGCCGTGGCCTACTATTAGCTCAACATTGTGTCATTCAGTACCCAAGTACTGTGTGATCTCTGTGGTTTCTCTTCCCACTGGTCTCTATTTTTATGCCACTATAATCTGATAAGATATAAGAAATAATTTGAACTCTTGTATTTGTTTTAAAACTTGATTTGAGAAAACATACATACAAGTAACATGATATGGACTAAACAGTTTATATTTAGGAATACACACACATGCGCACAGGCACAAGTGCATCCAATATCAATTGTTGCAAAAAGGAGGCCATGAATTTGACAAGAGTAGGGACGAGTATATGGGAGGGCTGGAGGGAGGAGAGGAAAGGGAGAAATATTGTAATGAAAACACAATCTCAAAAATAGACAAAAAAAAAACTTGGTTTGAGGCAGAATCACACTAGGATGCCTAAGCTGGGTTCAAACTGCCAAATTCAAGCAGTCCTCCTGCCTCAGCCTCGAGAATAGCGTGGGCTACAAGTGCGCCACCTTGCACGGAGCAGAAACATTCTTGCTTATTCTCCACAGCTGGTCACCAAAGTGCTTATGGATAATACTTCCTATTTCTTTGTGATGAGATGCACCTCCCAACAGATATTCCTACTATGTGACCACATTTCTGTTGCAGATTCTGACATAAACTTAGGAATCCTATCAAACAAAACCTTCCATGGTGAAACTTGGTGTCTCCACTGAGAGAGGAGGCTGTCATGGGTCAGGAGCCTCAGTTGCCCAGCATCTTAGTCTTACCTGGGTAACATTAATCCTTTTTATCTTTAAAGATTTTTTTAATGTTCGTGTTTTGTGAAAGTGCTTTGTCTGCAGTCTGCATGGATGTATGTGTATCACACGCATGTCTCGGAAGAAGGAAGAGGGCATCAGATTCCCTGGAACTGGAGTCGTAGAGAGCTGTGAGTTGTCATGTGGATGCGGGGAACTAGGCACAGATCCTCTGGGAGGTCCGCATGCTTTACCACTGAGTGATCTCTCCTGCTTCAGAGGGCATTAATCTTGAATCTCCCTCCCACAGAATGTAACTATGGAGAACCACACCATTTGACAATGTTCTCCTGTAGGGAGACTAACATTTGCTCTTTGCCCCCCCCACGCACACACACAACAATACAAACCATTGTCATTGTTCTTGGTTACTGCGATGTTTGATATTAATTATCAGTGTGACAGGATGATCACCCAGGAGACAAGTTTCTGAGAATGTATGGAAGGGGTGACCTTTATTAGTTCACTGAGGTGAAAGACTCACCCTAAGATTGAGGGGAAGCATTTCTTGGGTTTGGGTCCTGTGCTACACAAAACGGAGCAAGATAACTAAGCCTGAACACCCACCGCTTTCTGCTTCTTGATCACAGATGCCATGTGACCAGCTGCCTCAAGCTCCTGCCTCCATGACTTCCTCGCCATGAGGGACTGTTCCCTAGAACTGTGGATCAAAATTAACTCTTCCTTCCCTAAATTACTTTACCAGGTATTTTGTCATAGCAAGGAAAGTAACAGATACAGTGGCCCACCAGAACTAGGTGGAAAGAGTCTGTTGCTAAAGACATGGCACCTGCTGGTGGCCGAGCATAAAGAAATCAGTCTGGAACTGAACTAAAGAGTTTCTCCATGGTACCTAGCTTTTATAGTGCCAGAAAGTGGTACGCAGTCAGCTGAGGGAGAAAAGTCATCAGAAGTCTTGCAGCTGTGGACCCTCTCTACTACAGTATTGACTGGCTGGGCCAGATGTGCCCACTAGCACAACAGTGGCTTGAGTAACCAATTCCTTTCTAATTGGTGTGCTGGCTAGTTTTGCATCAACTTGATGCAAGTTAGAGTCGTTTGGGAAGAAGGGACCTCAATTAAGAAAATTCTCTTACCAGGCGAGACTGTGGGCATGTGTGACCGTTTGAATGTAATTGGCCTCCATATACTCAAAGTTAGTATTACTACTAGGAGGTGTGGCTTCTTTGAGGTAGGTGTGGCCTTGTTGGAGAAAGTGTGTTACTGTGAGGTGGGCGTTGAGGTCTCATATGCTCAAGTCACTCCCAGTGTTTCAGTTCACTTCCTGTTGCCTGTGGATCAAGACGTAGAATTTTCAGTTCCTTCTCCAGCACCGTGTATGCCTGCATGCCACCATGTCCCACCATGATGGTAATGGACTGAACCTCTGAACTGTAAGCCAACCAATTAAATGTTTTCCTTTGTAAGAGTTGCCAAGGTCATGGTGTCTCTTCACAGCAATAGAACCCTAACTTGGCATGCTTGCAGTACATTTTCATGATAGAAGACTGATGTGGAAAGGTCCAGAGCACTGTGGTCACTACCCTCCCTAGGCTGGTGGATCTAAGGGCTATGAGAAAGCAAGCTAAACATTCCAAGAGGAAGAATCCAGTAAGCACCACTCCTCCATGGCCTGTGCATCATTTCCTGCCTTGATTTCCCTCAGTAATGGATTATGATCTGTAAGGTGAAGTAAACTCTTTCCTCCCTGTCTTAGTTATGGTTAACTATTGCTATGAGGAGACACCACAGCAACTCTTATAAAGAAAACATTTAATTGAGGGAGCTCACTTACAGTTTCAGAGGTTCAGTTCATCATGACCATGAAGGGCAGCACAGCAGCATGCAAGGAGACAGGGTGCTGGAGCTGACAGGCAATAAGAAGTTGAGACCTCAAAGCCCGCCCCCACAGTGACACATTTCCTCCTTTTCAACAAGGTCACACCTCCTAATAGTGCCATTCCCTTTGGGGGACATTTTCTTTTAAACTACCACAGTCCCCAGGTTGTTTTAGCTCTTAGTGTTTGTCACAGCAGTAGAAACCCTAACTCAGCCAGTTAGATTCAATGCCTCCACCACTGGAGGGAATTCATACCTATTACTGCAAACCTGATGAAGTCGGAGGCCCTGTTTGATGTGGGGGTGCAATACCTGCTACTGTTGTTTGGCTAAAAGGACATGGTGTCAAGCTGCCTTCTAAATATTTGTTAATAGTCATACAGCGTCAGTGGTCTCAGCCTTAGTGAGAAGCGTGCTTTTGCGGTAGTGAGTAGTTAATGCAGACGCTCACAACATGTCCCAGTGCTGAGAACTGACGACCCAAACAGGACATCTGTGTCACCCTCTACTCCAAGGCCCCAGGAACACTGCGGAAGAGGAAGCAGAAAGTAAGTAAGACTGGACCTCTGTGTCCCGACCTTGGGATTCGGGAAGACCGGCTCCAGTCGCTGTCCTTTGACCACCAGCCCCGCAGAGGCTCAGATGCGGCCGCCCCGTGCCGAGCCGGGTGCACTGGGCTGCAGCAGCCGTGGTGTGAGAACACTCCCCTCGGGACAGCTACCACCTGGTCAGGATCAGTTGCTTCATGCTGGGACTGGGCACCCTCCTCCCCTGGAACTTCTTCATTACCGCTATCCCGTACTTCCAGGGGCGGTTGGCAGGGGCCAATAGCCCAGCTGAGGCTCTGAGCACCAACCACACCAGCCCCACAGACTCTCACAACTTCAACAACTGGGTGACGCTGCTGTCCCAGCTGCCTCTGCTGCTCTTCGCGCTCCTCAACTCCTTCCTATATCAGTGCATCCCTGAGGTGGTGCGTATTCTGGGCAGCCTGCTGGCCCTACTGCTGCTCTTTGTCCTGACAGCAGCATTGGCGAAGGTGAACTTGAGCCCTGGGCTGTTCTTCTCCATCACCATGGCATCCGTCTGGTTCATCAATTCTTTCTGTGCAGTGCTCCAAGGCAGCCTTTTCGGGCAACTAGGTACCATGCCTTCCACCTACAGCACCCTCTTCCTCAGGGGCCAGGGCCTGGCTGGGATCTTCGCTGCCCTTGCTATGTTCATGTCCATGGCCAGTGGCGTGGATTCCCAGACCTCTGCCCTTGGCTATTTCATCACACCGTGTGTGGGCATCCTGCTCTCCCTCCTGTGCTACCCTAGCCTGCCCCATCTGGAGTTTGCCCGCTACTACCTGGCCAAGAAGCTGTCCCAGGCCCCAGCTCAGGAGCCAGAGACCAAAGCTGAGCTCCTTCAAGCTGGTGAGAAGAATGGGATTCTCATCAGCCCCCAGAAGGCAGGCCCAGCTCTGGATCTTGACCTTGAGAAGGAGCCAGAGTCGGAACTGGAACTAGAGGAGCCCCAGAAGCCAGTTTCTTCAGTGGTGTAGCCACTGTGAGTTACAACCAGGCAGTTGTCCCCCTCTCATGCTCACACCAGCAGCCTTAATTAAATTCAGTGGCTCATTTAAGAGCTGGGGAGGGGGTGGAAGGGGAGCTTGTTGGAAAGAGGACGAGGTCCAGAGGGCATGAGGGGGACAAGAGGCAGTAACAGAAAGTTGCCAAGATCCCTCATGTACATCATTTAATTGTCAAAGAATACCTTTAAAACTGGGCCATTGCTCTACAAGACATTTGCCACCAAATCTGATGATTTGAATCCAGCCACAGAGATAAAAATGGCGGAAGGAAATAACCAACTCCGGCAAGTTTCGTCATACCTCTGTGCAAATCCATGGCACACATGTTCCCTGATCACCATGCACCAACACACACACACACACACACACACACGTAAATAGATGCAACTGTAAAAAGTTTAAAGAAAATAAGACTTTAAAAAAAAATTAAATCTTGTTGCCTGCTGTAGCTTCAATAATTTTATACCACAAAATGAAGTAACTGATAAATTTATAGAGAAAATTTGTAACAAATTTATTAATGTATAACAACACAGGAGCTATACACAAAGTGGGATTCAAAAGGCATCTGGAAATTGATGCTTATGTAGAGTAAAACAAAGAAGCAGGAGCCTGAGAAGGCTACAGAATGTTGTCTTGTTACACAGATGATGTTTCCTAGGTAACAGTCACCTGTGGTCATCTCTGGGTCAAATATAAGACCCCAATCTTTTTTTCCTGTGAAAAGATCTTTGCAAGTCATAAAGGTCTGTATAAAATAGAAATGCTTGCTTATATCTTACTGGATATTTATCTCACTAATAAAAGCATCTTTTATAGATAAAAATTTTTTTAACAAAATGACTTTCAGAGTCATCCTTGTGTCCTTAGAGGGCTGCAGTTTCTCTGAATAAGCAATTCCAAATATGCCTAGGAGATCAGGGTTTGGTGGCACATGGCTGGAATCTAGTCCTCAGGAAAGCTAGGGGACAGCTGGACAGATAGACCAACAGTTAGACAGGCAGGCAGACAGACAGATACATGCCAGAGACATGTACCTGGGGTTGGGCTATTTCATTTTCCCAAACCCTTATTCCTCAACTCAATGCACTACCGATGCCTTGTGTACCCAAGACTGATTTAGATGAATTGAAGGGGCATAAGGCGAATAGACAAGGAACTAAGCAATTACCTAGGAACAAGCAGATGTCACTGCTATGGCCATTGCTATTGCTATGACTGGGACAAGTTGGGGCAGCAGGAATGAGCAGGCATATGAACTCATGAGAAAACTTAGAACAGTGTTTTCTAACCAGTGTTACCACATCCAAGGGCTTTAGGACATTTGTAGACATTATTTTGTTATCTAAATAACTGGAGGATGTCAAGTTCATTTACTGGGTCAGACTAGGGACATCAGATATCAGCTTGAAATGAGCAGTACGGTATTGTGTGCAGGTGAGGTGACACGAGCTAGGGTCATCTGGGAAGAGAGAATGTCAGTGGAAAATATATACGCATCATATTGACCTGGAGGCAGGCATGTGTGGTATTTAGTGATTAGTGTTGAAGAACCCAGGTCACTGCGGGCAGTCCTACTCTTAGGCAAGTGCTCCTGGGGTATATAAAAGAAGCAAGTCATGGAGACTCCTCCATGGTCTCTGCTTCAGTACCTGCCTCCGGGCTCCTGCCTTGAGTTACTTCCCTGACTTCTCTCAGTGATAAAGTGTGACCTGAGAGTCATAAACTGGAATAAACCCTTCCCTCCCTCAAGTTGCTTTGGGTCATGTAGTTTTACCACAGCAATAGAAACATAACAAAGATATGGTGCATTGCAAAGTTACCCATGACTTAAGGGTATGTCAAATATTCTGCTCAGCGTTCATGTGGATTAAGCCCTATTTATAATCATCCAAATTTTATATAGCTTTGATTTAAATTTTAAAAATTTTCTGGTTTGGTTTTGGGGACGAGGTCTTCCTGTGTAGCTCAAACTCATGGATTTGATCAGTTAACTGTTTTGCTTGTTCATTGTTTGTTCCAGGGTCTCACTGGGGTTTGAGTGTTCACCATCTTGCCCAGCACCCTCGTGGTTCCCTTGCCTCAGCCTCCCAGGTGGTAGGATTACATGAAATTATTATTATAGCTGGATTTAATAATTCTTGCACTATTTTAATGTATGCCAGCATTTCAGAATTGCCAATTGAGGGTATACTGGGAGAGCACTGGGCTTAGGTGTAGCTCAGGGATAGAGCGTTTTCCTGAGTTCCAGAATTAAAAAGAAGTTGAGAAAATATTTTGTACTACTTTGTTACTAATTTTACCAAAAGCTGTTCATTATTTTCAAAAAGGATGTTCCCAGCCTCACAACACTGACTGCTAGCGTCAGAAGGTCCCCTGTGCATGTACAGAGGAGGGGCAGAGGAAGAGGGCACCCACAGGATAGGAGACATTCACAAAGCATGAAATTCAAAGGCTTCCTCGGCACCCAGATGCATGAGCTTGCATGCCCTGTTCACTGGGGATGAGGAGGAGGAACTGCAGCCCTTTCTAAGGGGATGGCTAGTTATTTCTATGGGAACTCAATGCACTTGGAGAACATACAACAGCCTGGGTGAATTCTGTTTGGCCTTCAGACAGACAACTATAATTCTCTGTAGAACACTGGATGGAAGCAAAATAGAAGACAATGGTGTCTAACATTGTGTGTTCCCTGGTGTGTTCCATGTGTGTTGATGGACTAGGTCTTTCTTCCTGTCATGTGAGCTTGGTCTTCTCTGATTAATGAAATTTCAGTTATATTTCTTCTCCATTGAGAAGAAACTTTGCAGAAGGAGAAGACAAGAGAAATTCAAGGACCTTGATTCTGAGATGGCTCTGAGGCCACTGAGCAAGTCAAAGCAGCTTCCTCTGGAATGTCATTTTATGAACCTCAACTGTAGCTATCTACCACAGTGGCTTGGCACATGTAAGCCCAATGTGGGCATTTGTTCTTCCGACTGGATCTCATGTAGCCCAGACTGGCCTCTGGCTACATGTCCTACATAACTGTGTACGACTATGAACTCTGCTCCTCCGTCTTCCACCTCTCAAGGCTAGGAAGACAGTTGGTAGATGGCTGAGGACCAGAGTCAGGATTCTGTGCATGCTGGGCAAGCACTCCACCAACCAAGTGGATCCCCAGTCCTCACTGGCTATTCTTGTCGAGAAATGCCAAGAAGCTGACAGACCAAAATACATAGCACATTTAACTCTAAATCACTATCGGGTCATTTATCCTTCAGGTTATAGGTGAAGATATATGCAGTAGGATTTTACCATCTATAAATTATTTTCCAGAACAGTAAAGAGAGCACCACAGACTGTCATCTGTAAAACAGAGTTCTGGTTTTCTAACTCCAGTTTTTCCTTTGCCCCTATTACTTGGTGTGATGGAGTGAAGAATTGTCAGTGCACACTAAGAAATCTGTGAAATTTTGATGACAAATAGAATATTTTCATAATTGTAAGGTATTCCTACACAAAATGTGCTCTAATTGCAAACAGAAAAGTACTGCACAATAAAAAAACTCTTTAATTGATATTTTATGATTTTATATAATAATACAACATAATGTGAAAATGTTATTTTATGCATGTATTTAGAGAGACAGAAGCAAAATAAAAATGGGATTAAAAATTGAAGCTTTGGCTGGAGAGATGGCTTGTTTGTTAAAAGTTAGGCTCACAACCAAAATCAAAGAAAAAGCTGAAGTTGATATGGTGGCCAAAGCCTGTAAGCACAGCACTTGCAAGGAAGAGAGGGGAGAGTTATGTGTTCAAGGCCAGATCTATGTGATGAGTTCTAAGCCAACCAGAGCTGCTATAGCAAGGCAGTGTCTCAAAAAACATCAAAAGAAAAATTTGAAAAACCTGATATGATAACTTATAAACCATCACCAAGCTATATCAGTTATAAGGCTTTGTAGGTCCATGATATAAAATAATACAGGACTCTGTCTTTGCCATCCACTATTTTATTTACTTATATTTAATAATGGTCCAAAAACACTAAGTAGAAAGACTGTAGGAATTATCAGATCATACATCTTAAAACGCATGTTGCTCTGAGAAGTGCGATGAAATCGCACCATCGTTTCCAACTTGCCCGGGATACAAGTGACCTCACCGAGCACAGCCACACCACGTAAACTACCACCTGCTAAGGTGACAAGGGGCCCTCTTGATTATCACATCAAGCACTGCACTATTGCCATGCTTGGGCCTAGGCAGCCCTAAGACTTTCTATCGCCCCAAAGGAGCAGGAACTGCAATACTGATCATTTAGATATGCCTAAAGAGAGACTCTAAACTGTTTCCTGGGAGCAGAGACTGAGAGTTTGCTACAGGTATGTATGTATGTATGTATGTATGTACATGCATGTATATATTTATGTATGTGTATGCATGTGTGTATGTATGTGTATGTGTGTATGTATGTGTGTATGTATATGCATGTATATATGTATGTATGTGTATATGTGCGTATGTGTGTGTATGTATGTATGTGTGTATATGTATGTGGTGTGTGTGTATGTGTGTGTGTGTGTGTGTGTGTGTGTGTGTCTAAGGCTCATAGAGTCTGGTGCTATCTGAGGCTTCAGGCCTGTTAGACTCTTTGGTTTATATCCCATGGTTAAGGAGAAAACACTGGATTCTTAAATTCTCATTTCATAGATGTAGATGGACCCATGGAAATGTCTAAAAAGATAAGAACAGTAGGAGGAGATGATATTATGAAAGAGAAAAGAACATAGGTAAAGTACAGAGGACCAAGTTCAGGGCCTCACACTTGTGGGCCTCTATCACCAGGCTACATCTTCAACCCTAAAGTCAAGATCATTTAAAACAAACGTGCCTCTAAGCATAGATTAATCTAGAAGCCTTACTCTGGTTTGTAAATCTTTCCCTTTAAAAATCCAGTAAGAGGCCTGAAGCACCAGAGAATACGA